CAGGGATGAGAGTAGTCAGAGAGTAAAAAAGAGGAAATCCAAGAATATATATATATATATATATATATATAAATTGCACAGTATATATATATATATATATATATAAATTGCACAGTATATATATAAATATATAAACTGGCAAGGTTGACTCAGCCTTTCATCCCTTCAGTGGGTCGATAAATGAGTACCAAGCATACTTGGGAACTAAACACTGGGGGTTCCGCGTTCGGCTGACCACCTGACCGGAACATCTGCTTCTGCACCCCAGAGCCCAAGGTCAAGAAAACTGAGATGGGCACAGTAGGTCTTGGCCCTCTATGGGCTGTCGCGCCGCTGAGTTTAGTTTAGTTCATATATATACATATATATATATATAATACGATTTGGTAGACAAGCTAACAAGTATAGAAGGTATTAACGTATGCGTGTTCGCAGATGATGTTGTCATTCGGATTGAAGCAGAAAACTCCCAAGTATATGAAGACCAAAGGAATAATCTTGAAGGCGTTATGAATAAAGCTCTCGAGGTCTTGCAGTCTTGGTCCAAAGAGAATAACATGATTATCAACAAAAATAAAACCGTTTACCAATTCTACTCTCTAAGGCGTGTTAATCCAGACTTTGATTTGAAAATAGATGATGGTAAGCTTCAAAAAAGCAACATTACCACATATCTAGGTGTAGTACTGGATAAAAAGTTAAGCTTTCCCAATCATATCAATACTATTATAGACAAAGTGGAAAAGAGAACTTCAATTCTGAAAAGACTAGCCGGTGCCAAATGGGGAAGCTCACAACACACTCTAAATAAAACCTATAACACCTATATCAAACCAATTATCAAACACGGAAGTGTGGTGCTAATTTCTAACACACAAGGAAAGCTCGACTCTTTGAAAAGAGCCTAAAACAACGCTCTCCGAATTATCACGGGAGCAGTGAAGACAACCCCAATTATAGCCCTACAATACTATACTTTTAATTCACCAATTACCACTGAAATTAAAAAACAAGCAGTTGGCACTTATGTTAAAATGAAAGTCTCCCATAGAGCGCAATGGATGAATGAATGTAAACCAAGTTCCATGAAGACCCATTTTCTCCTCTAGAGGTCAGTGAAAAATTACTGCATGATTTCCAAGAAGAAGAGCCAATTATCTGTAACAAGAACATAACAAACCCTCTCAAATTTATAGATGTCAGGCACCAACTAGATATCAATGATTTGGGTAAGAAAAACATACCTGACACAGTACTAAAAATAAATGCATTATGCATGCCACAAGAGCAATACCCTGAACCAGAATGGACGAGAGTGTATACTGACAGCTCAAAAATACAAGACAGCACCGGAGCAGGAGTACACAGTAAACTCTTTTCTCATAGAGCCCCTGTGGGATACAATATGTCAAAATTTGATGCAGAGATCTTCGCTATATCACTAGCCCTGGAAAACCTTAAGAATATGATCAATTTCTTCACTAAAGCAGTAACCCTTGTCTACTCTAAGGCAGCTGTTCAGGCAGTTGCCATAAACCATGATTCAGATACTCAGACTGTTTCAGAAATTAGAGATAATTTGATTTTTCTCGAGAATGCCAACAAAATTATTATGTTCCAGTAGATCCCTGCGCCGGTGGGAATCAATGGCAATGAAAAGGCAGACCAACTAGCCAAGAAAGGGAGACTCGAACCACAATGTAATAAACCAATTCCACCAGACTCCCTTAAAATTTTTTTCTTCGAGAAACTTATGACCGACCTAAAGCGCGATCGAGCAGTAAAATCCTCCGGAAAACCCTGGGCTAACATCCAAAACAGTTGGAAGAAATTTTGTCGCAGTCCTCGTAAGAAGGCTGTGGCAAACTTCAGACTCTCAACAGGCCATGACTGCTCGGCAGATCACCTCAACAGAATAGGTATCCTTCCATCTAGTGAGTGCCAAATCTGCAATTCGGGAATCATGAACTCAGATCACTTTCTTGTATGCTCTTTACTGGACAAAGAATCTCAAGAGAGGGGTGACCTCTGTAAACTTTACTGGGATGCCAGAGATCACATGAACTCTCTGTAAAGACTACTCCTCATTCTTCCCTTGTATATATATATTTTTTTACTTTAATTTTATTTTTGTGTTCTTCTTGTGTTAATATGCGTTTGTCACGTGTTTTCTTTGTTTGTAAATGTAATTTTGTTCCTTTTTACTCCTTGTTCATGTCCACTTAAAGCTGAACATTGTACATGGATTAATATTTCCAATAAAGTCATATGTAAAACATAACTTTGTCGTAGCATAAATAAAAAAAAGTAAAGAAACTTAAAAAAAACACAGTTGACAGAAACTTTTCCCAATGGTATTTAAATCAAAGTAAATCATTTCCCATTGAAAAAAAAGAGAAATGTTTATGGTTTGTCATAATTTATGCTATGGGGCGATGCTACCCAACTTTCCCAATGTTTTTCACTGAGAAGACATCGAAGATTAGTTTGTCTTAGTACGCAATTCGGGAAAAAATATTTTAAAATTACCAGAAGATGTCACAAATATGAAATACGTACTATATTAAGTGAAATTTGGGAATCAGATGTATATTAGAATTTTTTTAAATGAAAATTGCTCTTTATTTAATAAGTATGTTTTGTTAATAAAATTTAATTGTTCTTGATTATTGCATTCAATCGAAGTTTATTTATTTAGCGTGAAAACTATTGGTATTTTAAGAGAGATAATGCTTTCAGAATAACTTTTAATATGAGAGTATGAAATACTTACTCGCAATCAAAAATTTTTTTTTCGTCTAGCTTGATAAGGCGACAGTTACTGATAAACTCTTCACGCTTTTGTAACAACATTCTATAATCTTCATATTTCATTTCTTTGATATCATCGTATATTTTCATATGAACGCACTGAAAAATACACACGGTACATATTTCAACTAAATTTGCCTTGTTCACTAGAAAGTTGAATCCCAATGTAATAAAGCCACATTGATTTTGTGTTGTAAACTGATACGAAGCAGACCAATTAAAAAAAATTATAGACATATGAAAAGGGGGGGGGGAATAATAATGAAAAAAACGAACAAACAAACAACTGATTAGAAAAAAAA